TAATTTATCTAAAGGCGTAATTAACTTTCTGCCTAAAAATAATTCTGCTGGAGTTTTTCCCGTAGTATCATGATGTGCCGTTCTTAAAGCATAAGCTAATTCATTTATGTAGCCATCCCAGCGCTTGTGATGTGTGCTAACGTAACTGCGAATTATTTTTACAATGTTTTTATTAACTCTTTCTGCTATGTTAGCCTGTGGTCTATACGGAACCATTTTGATATGGCGTATATGCCAAGTCCATTGCATATGTTTTCAAATATTTGACTAATGAATTGTTTTCCGTTATCGCTAATGACTTTTATCGGTGCACCGTATTTTAAAATGTATCTGTGTAAGAATGCATCTGCGACTGTTTTGGCTGACGCGCGTTTAAGTGGAACAATTTCTATCCATTTTGAAAAATGATCTACTATTACTAAAAGAAAACGATTTTTATTTAACTCGCTCTGGGGGAAGGGACCAAGGAGATCTATGCCTAAAATTTCATTCGGAAATGTAGCGCGAATGCTATTTAAGTACCCGGCCGGGCTGTAATTAATATCATTTATTAACTGACATTGATTGCAGGACCTGACATACGCCGTTACTATTTTGTATAATTGCGGGAAATATACCGCCTCGCGTACCCTTTTTAAAGTCTTTCTGACCCCGAGGTGGCCCGCTGTTTTTTTTTCGTGCAACTCCTTCAAAATGCTTAATCGAAGCGAGGCTGGGATGACTGGCTTATACTCAAGATTTTCGTTTGTTGTTTTCGTATAGAATAATAAATTATCTATTATTTCATAGTTTTTTGCTCTATTTCTTATCGCATCGATATCTGTATGCTCAAAGCTTTCGGGGTCTTTCAAATAAGCATAGATATTTCCAAATTCAGGATCAGCTTTCAGTTCAGTAATAACCGTATCTCTAGAATCTAAAATTTTTGAAGTCAACACAGCGCATTTAAGTTCATTTACCTTCATCGTCCAGTTTTATACGAGAAAGTGCGTCAGCTACATTGTTTTCCTTACCCGGTTTATATTTTATTGTGATATTATATTCTTGGAGTTTTAAAGCCCATCTTATTAACCTGGGCGTTAGGTTTTTTCCCGAGTAAAGTCTACCAACAGCCGCATGATCCGAAAAGACTGTTACTGGCGATTTGCCGAAATAAACTCGAAATTTGTGTACAGCCATTAATACGGCTAATGTTTCTCTTTCTGTAGCTGTATAATTCCTTTGTGTTTGATTCAATGTTTTACTAAAAAATGCCAGCGGATGGTTATTTTGCATAAGAACCGCACCCACCGCATAGTCTGATGCATCTGCCGCAATTTCCAGGTTTTCGTCCCCCTCAGGGAATTTTAAAACAGGGGCATTAATAAGCGCTTCTTTTAATCTTTCAAAAGCTGTGTTAGCTTCCGCTGTCCACGTAAATTTACTCTTTTTTCTTTTGATTACTAAGAGTGGTTCAACAATATTAGCGAAATCTTTTATGAAAGATCGATAGTAAGAACATAGTCCAAGGAAAGACGAAAGTTTCTTGGCGGTGTTGGGCGGTGGGAAATTCTTAATAGCTTTTATTTTTGAATCTTGCGTTTCTATACCCTTTTGCGAAATTTTATAACCGAGATATTTAAGTTCTTTAGTTGCGAACTTGCATTTTGAGGCGTTAATTGTAAGACCGGCCTCTTTAATAATAATTTAAAAACTTGTTCGAGGTCATTAATGTGTTGTTCCAACGTACTACTCGTTATAATTATATCATCTAGATAAATTAAAGTTGATTTTCCTAGGACAGGCTTTAGAACAATGTCCATAGCTCTCTGGAATGTTGATGGGGCCCCACACAACCCAAAAGGCATGCGTAAAAATGCATAAGTGCCCGATTTTGTTATAAACGCGGTTTTATGTATATCTTCGGGTCTCATAGCTATTTGATAGTAGCCAGACGTTAAGTCCAAAGTAGACATATATCTTCGTCGATTTGATCTGTCTAATGATCTCGTCTATAACCGGCAAAGGGTAAACTGGGAATTTAGTTATGCTATTTAGTTTTCTATAATCGATAGCAAACCTCCAAGCCCTTTTATCCGAAGGAGGAAACTCGTTCTTTTTCCTACATAGTACATAGTACGACTGGACTCGCGTACTCACTATTTATGGGCGTTATTATTTTATTCTTTAACATCTCCTGAATATGTTCTTCGATGATTACGTCTTTTTGTTTGTCATAGCGGTAAGGTTTAGTCCTACAAGGTTTTTCGGCATTTAATTGAATCTTGTGAGTCACGATCTGACAGTTTCCCGGTTTTTCTGAAAACAAATGAGAAAAATTACTCACCACTTGCTGTATTGCTTTACTTTCCTGGTCATTCAAATGGCTAAGGTCCAATTCAGGTGTCTCCACCAGGTTCCACCACCCTCTGGTCCATCTCCAGCACCACGGAACTATCTTGAAAATTTAATTTGGCCCTCGCGGCCCTTAAAAAGTCCATACCTAAAATAAGAGAGTGTTGGAGGTGTTTCACCACAAAAATTAATACTTTGAGATTTTCCTCTTTTACCTGTAAGTTTAATGATACTTTCCCGATGCAGTGACATGTTTTTCCTTGCGCCGCTATAATTTCCGTATTTCTGGTTTTAAAGAGTCGTATCCTATAAAAATTCTTTTTGAAGAACTTTTCACTCATGAAATTTCCTTCTGCTCCTGTATCGATGAGGGCTTCTACTGGTACATCGCCAACCAGGACTTGTATAATTGGTAGCTGTGAGTTTTTTACGATGACTGTATTTAGATGTCTATTTGAGGGTTTTTTTTAAAACTTCCGGGGTCTGGACCCTCCCTTTCACAGGCCCCTCTAGTCGTTTAAAGCTTTCCTTTCAATCTGTGTCTTCTGGGTACGCGGATGCTTATTTTCAAATTTTCTTTTTGGGCCTTGACCTTCGAGTTTCGATGCGTTAGCTTGATAGTTCTTTCCCCCATATGAGCGATTTCCATTTCTGGTTTCCTCCTTCCTTCGGGTACTTTGAGAATATGTTTCCCCTCTCGCTCTTTCCGCTATTCTGCGATTTTGAAACTTCACCGCCAATTCGAAAAGTTCCTGCAATGTGGTTGGGTTTCTAATTTCAAAGTAGTCTTGGACAGCGGGTAACAATCTTGGTAATATTATTTCAATAATCTCCGCATCGGGTTTTTTCCCATACAGCATATCCGTTAGCTTGATTTTTCGTAAAATAAAGTCCGTCAATTGTGCTGTATCCCGTTGATAGAAACTATATAGCTCGGCTTCCAGCCGTGCGCGATCTTTCACTATGGGGAAGGCCTTTACTAACGATTTTTTGAAATTTTCAAATGTATACGTCGGGCTTCCAAATTCACCTAGAAGAAATTTGCCTATATTTTTCCACCATAGCGCGGCCTGTCCTCTTAGTGCTGATGTGGCGATGGCAACTTTTTGTCTTTCAGGCACAGGGTAGAGCTGAAAGTGGTTTTCTATACCTTCTAAAAATACCGACACCGAATTTTTTCCGTCGAAATAGACGTTTGGCTTGATTGATGCTCTCAAAGTCTGGACCAGGTATCCAAATCCTTCTAACTGCGTTGTCATTTCTTGGTGTTGTCCAGCGGCTTCCATCCAGTTTTCGGCCATTTCAGTTCGATAAGTGTTCGGGCGCCAATATAACGTTGCGCGCCTCCAACTTGCACGCAACCAAGAGGTGACTGTGAAAAGCTTGTATAAACCACAGAGTCTTGTAAAGGGTTTAAGTCCCTTTTTATTCAACGTAATAAATTACAATTGCGTTCCTCTTGACGCTTACAGACGGTGCCAACTCGGCAGTCAAAATAAAAATAATAACCTGAAAAGAAAGTAAAGACAAGATTCTAACTACGAGGCTCTCTAAAATAACTAACTCACCGCGTTTTACAATACCGCTGCTAATTCAGCAGACTTGAAGCTCACTGGAACAATTGCAACACTACTTCCCGCCAAGCACATAGGCCGCAACGCGGGGTTTCTTCAATTCTCGCTAACTACCTCCGCGCTCGCTAAGTAAGAATAATCTCTCTCACCGAACTTGTTTCCTTCTATTTAAATCATAATACTTCCGCTGATAATTTGAATGCTTGCGCGTTCTACTCAAATTTACATATTCTGGCATTGGCAGTTCCAGGGGAAAGTAAGGCTTGACAGGAAAGATAGTTTAAACTTAAAATAAATGTTAGTTAAAATAAATATAAACCCTACAAGGTAATTGTTTACTTTATTATTATCGAATTCATAGTTTCTGACTGGTTAGGTAAATCAATGTAAGAAACTCAATCTGAATAGTATACTTAATTTCTTCTGAAGACACAATTTATTTTGTGTTGACATTTTAATGAACTTAATTGTTAAATAATAGTTTAATTTTTAATGTACTATATTTGTTTATGGTGCTGAAAATTATTCATTGGGGATGATTTTTTTTTTCCTTCCAAAACTGTCGGCTTGGAATTCGTTCTCAGAATTTCCTTATCTGCAGATTTCTGCACTCCGAAATTCTTTTGCCAAGCGTTTCACCACATGTGCTGATTTCTTCACCATCTGGAATTTTTTCGTAAACGGGACCCTGTTTACTCTGACATCTCTAGCAGAGACATGTTCTACGGGGAGTTTGTTTATGGCAGGGAAACGTCGTCAGATAGGATGCTCGCCATGGTGGAGTTGCACCCCGAGACAAGGCTAGTGCTTTCCCCCCTTCCGTCAGCGTTGACCCAGCGGAGCGGCCTTGAAGGCGAATTGTTGAACTGCGTCGTTCGCCAAATGCTGGTAGTCGGGAAACCCCTTCCCGTGAAGATTTCTATGTATGGGGTTGCGTGTTTGGCGTTCTTCCGATCATCATACTTCGCCAATTATTTCAAGATCTCGCCAGGTACAAAAGTTGCTGCGCAGTTGGGACGAAGAGACGGAGAAAAGAAATTTCGGTTAAAAGTTCTTGAGACAAAAAGATGACATTTCTACGGTACAGCGTGGAGGGCAGCAGCCTCGGAGACGAGGATGTGACGAACGTGTAAATAACCTGCACAGGCGTACTGATACCATAATTCTTGGTTATTTCCTGCCTTAATAATGGCCTGTGGATTTGGGAAGACCGGTGTCCTGTCGGTTGGAAGCAGCAGAAAGGAGTGAAGCCTGGCCTACGAAACAATTGCTTTCTATTAATTATTTTATCTGATACTTTCTTTTCTTCTTACAGATGATTTTCACGACTTATAGTAATTATTCCCTGCTACGAGATTGTTGTCCTGTCATTGTTTTCACCTGGATCAAGCAATCCAAGTTTTGTATGAAGGGGCCCATCCGTGAACTGTAAAATTTTATATATGTTAAAGGAGGTATGTTTTACAAATTATTTTTCCCGTTTTTCCTATAGATATTTAGATGACCAGTCGCCACCAATTTAAAATGTAACTTGTATTCTTAAACGTGTCATCTTCAATAAACGTTAGTGCCCACCAGCGGCCGAGCGGTAATGTCGCTGAACACTGGTAGTTCGGTCCGAGGTTCGAATCCCGCGAACGGGCTGGCTGCATGGGTGTTTTCGTGGTTTTCCCCATGTGTAACGTGTATACGAGCCAGTTTCCCTTACAAAGTCCTCCACGAAGGCATCCCCTCCCCTTAGGCAGATAGCCCTAGTGTGCTTTGCCATAATTAAATACACCACCACCACACACAATAAACGTTAGTTTAATTTTACTGACTTTTGTATTGTTTTTAATTTTATTTAAATTTCAACACTGGACCATATACTCTTAATTTACTGGGTTTAATTTGCTAATTTTTACACAACGCAATTGCTAATAAATATTGACTTGTTTCTTGGATGTTACTTATACTGTATTGATGTCATATTGCACTAAATACTCTGAGAAATATTACTGATGTGGAGAATTTCACACATTTACCAAATCCAATATCGTCTTGCACATTCTCAATGTATGAATTTTCAGTTACTCAGTGATGATGTTTAGTAGCACCTATTGTATAGGACTTATGTTATAGTGTTCTATAATTAATATAGAACAACATAACATAAAGACTCGTCATTTGTATTGTATCTCGACTCATAGTCCAGTCCAGAGGACATAGTCCAGTTTTGCAGTGTTCAAAAATTTTGTGGCTGGCTACACAAAAGACAGGCTCTCTTGGCGATCTGTTAAGGAGAAACATAGTCGCGTGATATAAACAGCTTGCTCTGCTTGGCGTCTGTATACAATTTGCACTTGAAGTTATTCCAGACGCAGCAACCAGATCAACAGAAATCTGTCATCATTCTATCGTATGATACATTTAATTCAACTTATTATGCTCTTGTTGTTGTCGTCTTGTCTATGGATTTCATGCCAGAATGGTTCACACATCCTCAAGGACGTTGGACTTTCACTTCCACCCCAGTTTGAGGGAAAGCACCCCGGGTGCGATGGGGGTCCGAGGGTCACCAACCTCTCTCCCCTTCCACCAAACCCATGGCATGGAGGTAGGAAAGGAAGGAGGGGCCATTCCGCGCTAGAAGTGAAGCACTGCTTTGAAGCTTGGGTGACCAGACGGGGTGTTCTTTGTTTACATTCAGAAGCTCGCTTGACAAGATTCTGATAGTATTTCGACACACGACAGTTCCATAGAAATCGAAAAAGGGACACTCTCGCGTGAAAGAAACATTCATAGTGTAATGGATAATAGCAATTTGTATAGTTTACTGATATTTACGCAAAAATCGCATCTTAGATATTTTTCGATAACTAACAACAGCGATTTTGATTATGAATTTGTTTTATAAAATTCTAAGCTGTTGCACTACAAAAATATAGATTTTAAGAAAATTGCTAAAAGAGATCTGCCAAAATTTATTTTCTAGAAGATTTGAAAAGTTTGAAACTTGACGGCTAAATGTAAATATAAAATTATGTATGTTAAAATATTTGTAATTAGGCACATAGGTCAGATTAAGTTTTTATTAAATAGAGTAACGCATGCAAGGGCTATCTGCCTAAAGAAGAGAGATGCCATCGTGGAGGAATTTTGAAGGAAAACTGACCTTTGAGTGGGTATTAAAAATAATACTTATAATTTTCATTTAAATTATATTCATATATATTTTTTATGTAAAACTTTCGGGTGTATGCTAAATTAGTGTAAATTACTTTACACGAAAAATATAGTGAATGCACAGAAATTAAAGATTTGCACATGCCGGTATGATAAATAGGAAATATGTATGGGTATTTATGCATGTGCTTGCAAAAAGCATGTATCTGCCTTTGACAAAATACTTAAATATTCATTAAATTATTTATAAATGTATTTGAATCGAAGAATTTATTCACTTATAAACAACTGTGAAAGTACTGTGAAGAAATCTAATGATTAAATGTATCTAATTTATAATGATTATAAATGTTATCTAAATATATAATAACCTTAATATTGAATTGTAAACATAAATTGAAATCCTGTTGACAAATACGTTATAAAACTATTCGAGCAAGAATTGTTCGTATTGGAAAGCAATCTGTTAAAAGGTATTGTAAAGCAAATGCTATGAGATGCACACTTAAGAACGTAATAAAGAGTTTTGGAATATGTATTGTGGAAATGAAGGGTAAAAAAAAATCTGATAAGTATAATTAAAAGAATTATTCCCTTTACATTTTATAATAACTCAGTTACAAGTTTTAAATAATACTTAAAAAAAAAAAAAAAAACTTATTTTATTCCTTTTCAGAAATGTTCAAAGAAAGTCAAATACTATTTAATTCCTAATAATTCTCTAATTTAAAATGAACCGAATAGAGCATTAATTATAAATTGACTTACATTTTTCGATTTAAAAGATGCCTCAGAAGCCAAAAAATCATGTCATATTTAATAAAGTATTTTAGGAAAAAGCTCTATAAATAGAAAAGAAATAATGCATAATTTTAATATTAATAATACAATAAACTTTGATCTTAATTTTTGTACCTTAACCGAATAAAATCGAATTACCTTAATTTTTTTCCTAATGTAATTAACGAAAACTTGTGAAAATATTTCATTCAAATTAAACCATTCTGAGAAAACTGTCCTGTGAAAAGTATAGCATTTAATTCCGTTCAGAATGAAATGTTGTTTAAAAATATGTTGTTTTCACATACGTAGGACTCTGAAGTGTGTGTAGAAAAAGAAAATATATACATTTATATGTATATTTGCGACGTAATTACAAAATATTTACACCCGAACGCGTCAAATCCCATAGATCCCCCCCTTTTTTTTTTCTTTTTAATGGTAAATGACCCAATGTTTTGGTCACCAAGTAGGGATCGCCGGTGCTTCAGAGCAGGGTACTGGGGAAACTGGTTTAAGGCGACTCCATCTTACTTCCTACCTCCATGAAACCAGTTTCCCCCGTACCCTGGTCTGAAGCACCGGCGATTCCTACTTGGTGACCAAAACATTGGGTCATTTACCATTCAGTTCTATGGGATTTGACGCGTTCGGATGCAAATATTTTGTAATTACGTCGTAAATATACATATAAATGTATATATTTTCTTTTTCTGCAACACTTCAGAGTCCTTAGTATGTGAAAACAACATATTTTTAAACATCATTTCATTCTGAACGGAATTAAATGCTATACTTTTCACAGGACAGTTTTCTCAGAATGGTTTAATTTGAATGAAATATTTTCACAAGTTTTCGTTAATTACATTAGGAAAAAAAATTAAGGTAATTCGATTTTATTCGGTTAAGGTACAAAAATTAAGATCAAAGTTTATTGTATTATTAATATTAAAATTATGCATTATTTCTTTTCTATTTATAGAGCTTTTTCCTAAAACACTTTCTTAAATATGACATAATTTTTTGGCTTCTGAGGCATCTTTTAAATCGAAAAATGTAAGTCAGTTTATAATTAATGCTCTATTCGGTTCATTTTAAATTAGAGAATTATTAGGAATTAAATAGTATTTGACTTTCTCTGAACATTTCTGAAAAGGAATAAAATAAGTTTTTTTTTTTTTTTTTTAAGTATTATTTAAAACTTGTAACTGAGTTATTATAAAATGTAAAGGGAATAATTCTTTTAATTATAGTTATCAGATTTTTTTTTTACCCTTCATTTCAACAATACATATTCCAAAACTCTTTATGACGTTCTTAAGAGTGCATCTCATAGCATTTGCTTTACAATACCTTTTAACAGATTGCTTTCCAATACGAACAATTCTTGCTTAAATAGTTTTATAACGTATTTGTCAACAGGATTTCAATTTATGTTTACAATTCAATATTAAGGTTATTATATATTTAGATAACATTTATAATCATTATAAATTAGATACATTTAATCATTAGATTTCTTCACAGTACTTTCACAGTTAGACTAGAAGAGAAACACGCTAATGTGACAATCAAAATCGTAAAAAACAACCTTATATTTAGCGTAGGTATAATGAACCTACCTCATTATCCTTCATATCATTCCATCATATCAGGGTCCTTCATATCACCTTCATATCAGGGTCATTATACCTACGCTAAATATAAGGTTGTTTTTTACGATTTTGACTTTCACAGTTGTTTATAAGTGAATAAATTCTTCGATTCAAATACATTTATAAATAATTTAATGAATATTTAAGTATTTTGTCAAAGGCAGATACATGCTTTTTGGAAACACATGCATAAATACCCAATACATATTTCCTATTTATCATTTCCGGCATGTGCAAATCTTTAATTTCTGTGCATTCACTATATTTTTCGTGTAAAGTAATTTACACTAATTTAGCATACACCCGAAAGTTTTACATAAAAAATATATATGAATATAATTTAAATGAAAATTATAAGTATTATTTTTAATACCCACTCAAAGGTCAGTTTTCCTTCAAAATTCCTCCACGATGGCATCTCTCTTCTTTAGGCAGATAGCCCTTGCATGCGTTACTCTATTTAATAAAAACTTAATCTGACCTATGTGCCTAATTACAAATATTTTAACATACATGATTTTATATTTATAAAACGTGTAAGCCCGAAGTGATTATTTTTCAGATATATAAAATTAAAACGATGGGTTAAAATGAGCAGCAGTAAAGCCTCTCCTCTAAAAAATTTTAAAAGGTACATGTTACAATAATATATGGATGTGAAAAAAATTTGTTTTATTTAAAACATTTTGACGTTTGGAAAATAAAATAAAAGTAGCGAATACTCTATCAAGGGTATCGAAAGAAGTATACAATTTTAAATGTACCGTAAGGTAGTTTTCATTCTTTAAGCATAACATTTTTCTTAAAATCTTTATTTTTGTAGTGCAACAGCTTATAATTTTATAAAACAAATT